CAGCTAGCAAACTCATATTCATTTTGCTACCTCACTGAAAAGAAGTATTTATACATATACACAATTTGAAAATCATAAAAGAATGGCAGTCCCTTGCTTTACTTCTTCCCAACCCCAAGCCCATTCTAGGAAGTAGACATTCTCAACTATTCTACCTGTTTCTCCTATTATTATCTCCATACTCCCAAATGATAAGCTATTACTTTTTCTTATTTGTATTATATATTATTTCTTACCTTCTTGCCCTGGTAGGTAAGGACTTAGCTCTCCTGTACCCTCTCCCCCATTTCTCCTTCATCCAACAAAACTGTACCACAATTCTTGATTAAATCAGCGATCACTATCCAAATTACTAGGACAATGCAAATACTGCTCACTGCTAAACTTCTAAGAAGTCCACTAAAGCCAGTCTCTTTCTTATACAACCTTCATTTATCTTGGAGTTAATAATTGCCTTTTTTTCATTATCCTGGCTTTCCATCAATCTGCCATTATTTTTTTCCAAATGTCTAACATCTTTGTCAACAGTATTTGCCGTATGTTCAAATATATCCATTCCAGTTTCTTCCTGTGATCTCCTTCCTTTCCTCCTGCCCTTATCTGGACTGGGAATTCTCTAAGGATGCCGCACAGCAGTCAAACTGGACTTTCATTGTGACTTGGGTATTGGGTTCCCCATTTCCTTTGAAGTTGTTAATACATGAAGAGCGCGCAATAGTGTTCCCTGTGATAATGTTGTTTACTGTGGAAGCTCTTAACTGGAGTCATTTTATTTATTGAAAAAGTATTCTATGTGCATGAGTTCACAAATGTAATCAGATATAATTTCAGAAACCCAGGCCCAGACCCTAGTTTGTTTTTTTTTCCAAACTGTTGCTATTTAAATTTACTTTATCTGATTCTTGATTCAGACAAACCAACTCTAAAAGAGACACTTATGAGGAAACTGGGGAAGTATGAGCTGAATATTTGATGGTATGAAATTATTGTTTTAGGGGCTTCCCTGGTGGCGCAATGGTTAAGAATCCACCTGCCAATGCAGGGGACACGGGTTCAAGTCCTGGTCCAGAAAGAACCCACATGCCGCGGAGCAACTAAGCCCATGCGCCACAACTACTGAGCCTGTGCTCTAGAGCCCTCGAGCCACAACTACTGAGCCCACGTGCTACAACTACTGAAGCTCGCGTGCCTAGAGCCCGTGCTCTGCAACGAGAAGCCACCGCAATGAGTAGCCTGCGCAGTGCAACGAAGAGTAGCTCCCACTCGCCGCAACTAGGAAAACCCGCGCGCGGCAGCGAAGACCCAAAGCAGCCAAAAACAAACTTTTTTTAAAAACAGCAACTTCTAGCAAGGATATACAATATTTCTCTTTTGAGTTACTTAATGAATTTATAATAGACTTAGCTATTTTAGTTTCCCTACTGTTATTTACCTTACAAATCTTAGTATTTAGCCTTCTATCTTAAGAACCTCCCCATAAAACTAGATACATTACGTAAGAAAACTTATGACTTGGTGTAATTATGTACAAAATTTAAATACCAAAGTTAAGGTTCATTCACTCATTCAACCAACAGTAACTGAGCATCTTCCAAATGCCAGGTGCTCTAGGGTACTAAAGATACACGGATGACAAGGACTCAGAATATAGGAACTTTAAGAATAAGTCACCTGCCTAAGCGGTTAATGGAGGAACCAGGACTACGACCCAAGTCAATCTGCCAGGCTGGACTCTTCCACTACACATGGCCCAGAGACCCCTTACCTGGAAGATGACATCACGCTTGGTTTGAAGCAGCTCCCTAGTCCCTTACAGGGACGGGTCAAGTCTCCTCAAAGCATGCTCTTTGGAACACTTCTTCTGTGTAATATTCTGTAAGTCAGGGTCTTATTGGCAAGAAAGAGAAGCTGACTTTGGCTGATTAAACAGAAGACAGACTATCGAAAGGGTTGGGTACCTCACAGGACTTTGGGGAGGTCTGGCTAAACTTTTAGAAAAGAATGCCCATACCCATGCCATCAAGCTGGCCTGATGAGGAAACCGGTGCCACTACCACTGAGCACTACTAAGTACTCTGCAACAGAAACTTATCTTTATGGCCTCACCCTCGTCCCAAATGCAAAGGAAGGGAGTTTTCTGGGTTGTCTTCCAAGAGACTGGACTCATTCAGCTGGCATTCCCCACACCTAGCAAGGGCATTCAAAACAACCTTGGTAGACAAATATGACAAATACCCAAATATCCACAGTGTACGTTAACAGGCATTTCACAAAACGTCAGGGAAACAGGTTCCTCTACTGCAGGACCACTTGGAGCTTTTAATATGCTTTGGAGCATAGGGACTCTCTAAGAAGATAAAATAGTTCCCAATCATTGGTGATCATCGAAACTTTATTTCTGTAACAGGTAACAGGATGGAAAAAGTGGTAGACTTGATGCTCAACTGCTCCCTCTCTTGGCCTCCCACAAAGTCCCACTCATTTGACTACTGAAAGCTCTTACTTCTCTGGTTCAGGAGCCCTCATCTCTCACCTGGACTATATAGCAGCAGTTCCTAACTGCCCTCCAGGGCATGGCCCTTCAGTCCACACAGTTGCAGTCATGATCATAAAATGCAAATCCAGTTAAGTCACTTCCCTACCAAAACAGTTTGGTGCCTTGCCACTACCCTCACAAGACTCCCAACCCCAGATGCCTACTTACTTCCAGCCTCAGCTCTTGCCACAATTCCTCTCCAACTCCTCACCACCAGGCTAGTTCAAGAACTGCCTCTGCCCCACCCCTACCCCCCACGACTGACCCTTCAGATCAGAAGGAAATAACCTCTGTCAAGTTGTGTCTGGGCTGGCCCACTTCCTCTGGGCTCCTATAGCGTCCCACACTTTTACCCCTCATAGCACTTAAACCACATGGTAACTGCTCAATCACTGGTCTGTATTCCCCCCAGGCAACAAGTTCTGAGAGTGCAAAAATTCTTCCTCACACAAATACCCAACAAAGCACTTGCCACTTAAAGGGCAGTGTACAAAGGTGATGAAGGAGCACACCTAAAACTTTCAGGTAATGGATATCCTTTTACTTCCTTTTTTGTCTCTCACACAAATAGACTTGCATGGCACACAATCATTCACTAAAAACATCAATTTAAAAAATGTTTTGTGTTCTATGATGCAGACAAGGTGCACCTATTTTTAGTAGAAAAAGATAGAAATTATACTTACCTAATGTAAAGCATATAGAAAGTGTAGTTTGGAAACAGAATGAGACTCAAGTTTCTTTGGTTTCAACAGGAGAGGAAATGATAGAGCCACTTTAGTTGCTGATGAAGGCAGAGCATCTGTCAGCCAGAAGGATGTAGAGACTCAAGTCTCTACAAAATGCCCATCAAGAGTCCAGTTCTAAAGGAGAAAAGAGCCACTCAAAAAGCAGCACTATCCGGCAGTCACAGCCTTTATGCTTTCAGTGAAGTTGCTTCAGAAAACACCTAGAACCATTTTAGGTTTCTTAAATCATTCGAGGCCAAATAGCCTTTCTCTTTGTATTTAATCCAGTATTCAGGAGTTTGCCTGATTCAAAAGATAAGCACAACTTCCTCCTGGCTATCTCAACTGAGATGTTGATATTAGGTAAAGTTGTAACAATGAGGTTTTTTGTTTTGTTCCTTTTTTTACTTTTAGTGTTTGGTTTAACAACTAGATTTACTGAGCATTGACTCTGTAGCCAAGCACTGTTTAAGTGCTCTCCATGAATTAACAATTTAATACTCAATATAAGATGACTGGCGATACACCTATATCCTATACATTATCTTCCTCTACCGAGATTGGCATTATACCCATTTTATAAATGAAAACACTAACGTTACTAACTTGCCTAAGGTTACAAAACTAGCAAGTAGTAAGATCTGAGATTAGAATCCAGTTTGGCATAAGCGTCTACATTCTTAACCATACCATTATAATGGCTCATGACTTAAGTTCAACACACACACATAAACATCCTTTCAATCAGAGTCAAGAGACTTGGTATTAGTTGTCTTCAGTAAGTCATGGGGACGTAAAGTCACTTTGAAAATCTAAGACTGTCTTCCCCACCTGTAAAGTTAGAGGACTAGACTCAACAGTAATTTCCTAACAGTGTGGAAGAGCGTATGAGAGAGTGAGGGCGCTGGTGATGAGAGGCTAACCTAGCAAGGATCCTTGGGCCATTTCAACCAGAGCAAAGACTTTTTTGGAAAATGAACTGTTCTGTTAGAAGTAAAGGTATGAAAAATCTTTGGAACTGTAACAAAAGTTTCTTTCTTGGAGCCAATGGATTCCAAGTAGCCTGGCATCAGGAAATCCTTGAAAACCTCTCCAAGTACATGCACCGTATGTGTACATACACAGACATATTTTTCTAGGGGAAAAGATTCAAGGATTTTGTTAAATACAAAAAGTAGCTGATGATTCCAAAAAGGATTTAGGACACATAAAATCCCTCTTCAGCTTTATACTCTTGGAGGAAACTAGTGATCCAGGTTTGTAGAGCTTAATTTTTGAGAAAACCTGCATTTCCTAATTAAACACCACATATTATCAGACAATGATGAATAAGAAATATTAAAAGGGGACTTCCCTGGTGGTCCAGCGGTTGGGACTCCACACTCCCAATGCAGGGGGGGGCCCAGGTTCGATCCCTGGTCAGGGAACTAGATTCTGCATGCTGCAACTAAAAGATCCTGCATGCCGCAATGAAGATCCCACATGCCACAACTAAGACCCAGCGTAGTGAAATAAATAAATATTAAAAAAAAAAAAATTTAAAGTATTCACAGCCTAATAAACTGGGTACCTTCAATTGCTACTTGAAATTTGCTCTACTGGACACACAGTTAAAGTATCTCATTTTACTCAGCCTGTATCTGACTCATTTTATGTTAGCCTGTACCTGACACACTCAGTTATGTTTAAATTTTTTTTCAGTTACAGACTTAAAATAAACCAAGGAAAAAGCCCAATCACTAAATATATATAAAGTATTTATTTTTATGCACATATTTACCTACAAAATTTACAGGAAATAAAACAATGCAGAATATATGGAATACCCTCTTAAAACTTCGTAGGAGCAGAGGGGTTTATTGCTGCAGTTCAAAGAATGAAATTTTATACACGTGAAAGCCAAGATGGACACATTTAAAATAAATGGCAGCCTTGTTAAAAAGGTTTTTTGTCCTGTTTTTGAATTTTCAGCCTTATGTTAAATGAAATTTAAAAGATTGCTCATGAAATAATTTAAACCTTTCAAAATCTTCTAATAAACAGGTAAAAGGCACCTCCAGTTCTTTAAAATATTTACAGCAATCCCAATAGCTTAATTTTAAGGGCTGTTATAGTATATGTGGCTAATATGCATACACAGTATGTCATTAACACTCTCTAAACAGTGAGAATTGTAGACTCTAGTTTGTGGCACTGCTCCCGTTGTCCCTGTGATGGTGTGGCTGATCAAGCACACCTGCACAATACTAGTGTAACAGCACGTCTACCACGGCATAAAATCCCATTATCTAAAACAATGACTATCAAATTCCCCAGACAATACATAATTTATAACTAACCTTGTCTATTCAGAAGCCTTTGGAGTGTTCTTAAAATCATTAAAAAAATATAAAGTATATTTAGCATTAAATGAAAACAATGAACTGGAAAATATCACAATAGTGGCTGAAGTTCACTATCTAGTTTTAACAAAAACTGTTTCTCAAAACACCTATAATTTCTTAAAACATAATGGAGATGAATTTTCCTTAGTCTTAGCTCAATCCAATGTTTTTCCTGCATTATGATTAAAAGAGAGGAGTGTAAGAGTGAAAGGCACAGCTATACGTAATAGCTGGTTTTAAAGAGCTGTGGAGATGGCAAGCAGATGTTCCTGAAACACTGGTGCAGGAGAACAAAGTCCACATAACGTTTCCTTTTTAACACTGGCATTGATTTGCTATTTACAGTAGTTTACAAAAATACATTATAAAAACTGGATGAGGTTCTGTTTCTAAGTTTAACTTAGTAACATACATACATACTTCATCTGCAAAAATCTTTGCAGGATCTGAAGTACTAAAGTGACACTAATACTGAAACACAAATAATCAAAGGTACCAAAGCACTGATTACGCGAGTCACCACCATGAAGATAATCTGGGTAAATATTGCACATTTCTTGTCAGTTGTTGCTATGACGTTCACATATCCAACTGTAAAAGCAATCCTTTATGGCTTTTTGCTGTATCACTTTTTGAAGAAAGGTTGTTTTAAGTCCCATAACAATGAGTGCAGATTGTCATTGAACATGAGGCCTAGGTTTCAAAATTAGTTTTCCTGTCTGTAAAAATGAAAAAAAAAAAAAAAAAAGTTTAAAAGTATACAGTTCTGTTAAGAACACCACCACTTACCTAGAAACCTTAAAGGGCATTAGAACACCCCCCTATATTAGGCAAGATTAAGCAATTAATAATTATGTTTTCAAAGTGTTCTTTGTGTGGAACTTTCTTCTAAAATCTTTAGTACTTTAAAACATACACATAAAATCTTTATTTGATGAATTCCCTATCCACTGGCTACCAGAAAATCAGCCAACCAACCCAGTGGATAAAATAAAATCCCAACTTATATAGACTAATTTATGCCCCTTACCATAAAACATAAATAAAACTATGTATTTGAACAAAAATTTTTCCCTTTTTCTAACATTAAAACTTTAACTTCCTCAAGTTAAAATGTAAACCAATGGTTGGAGCAATAGACACTCATATACACTGCTGGTATTCAGTGTATGTGGATACAACTCTTCTACAGGGCTGTCATATTTATCAAAAAGAAAAGCATATACCATATAATCCAAACAATTCCACTTCTAGGAATTTATCTGAAGGAAACTAGGTGCAAGGGTAAAGATGTACATTTAAGTGCTATTAATTCAGTATTTACTGAGTACCCATTAATGTGCCAGACGTGTGAGATGCCAGGGACCCAGTAATGAACTAACTAGACAAAGTTCCTTGTCTTTACGGAGCTTAAGTTCTAGTGAAAAATGCACAACATATAAAACATGCAAAATGTGGACATAGGGGATTAAATTATGATGTGTCCATAAAGTGGGAGAGTATGTAATTAAACAAAATGGAAGATCTTGAGATCATGCAGATAAAAAAACAGGCCTGGGACCTTTCACAGTTAACCTTCAGTATGGCTCTTCAGGTGGCTCTTAAATCCTAATGTTGGGTCAAAGAAGCAGGTTTGAAAAATTCATAACATCTTTTTATTTTTTTAATGGCTCTTTATAAACTTGATTATAACAACTTTCTTTTATAAAAGTAAATGAGAATACACAATACAAAACGTGGTGATTATCTTTGGTTGGTAAAATTCTAGGTGGTTTTCAGAAACACACTTTATTGTCCTCAGGTCAAGTGTTGTCAGGATTCTGGCTCCCTCTCAATTCTCACTTTCACTTTTTCGGTAACTCCTTGATATCTTGGTAGAACTTTGATACTAATTTTTCTACTGTTTTACTGAGGTATAATTCATGCACAGTAAAATGCTCAAATCTTGTGTACAGTTTTATGAGTTTTGACAAATGTATATACCCACGTCACCACCACCCAGATCAGGCTACAGAACATCACCACCACTCAGAAAGTTCCTCCATGCTCCTTTCCAAGGTCAATGGTACCCCCCACTCCCTACATAACTGCTTACCACAGGTTAATCTGCCTCTCTCTGATCTTTAAGTAAATGGAATCACACAGCGTGTTCTTTTTCATCTACTTCACTCAACGTGTTTCTGAAATTCATCAACATTACTATGTTTCAGCAGCTTGTACCTTTTTATATTGCTATTACAATACAGAATGTATGTATACCACTGTATAAAAATATCATGGTTTTAAATCCACTTTAAATCTATTTTAAATTACATAAGACATTAATGTAATCTCATTATAAAAAGTTCAACCAAGATGAGCTTAAAGTCACCCTTTCCATTCACCTCAAACACTAGCCCTCTTATAGAAGAAACCAGTTTTAGCATGAATTCTTCCAGATTGTTTCCTATGGACTTACATTCACATATATGAATAAAAATTTGGTGCTTCTATCATGCTGATTGAGGGTAAAATACATCACTTGGGATTTGTTTTTAAATAACCTGATGATAGGGAAGGTTGGCAGGGGTACACATGAATTAAGAATGGCCATGAGGTGATACCTCATTGCAGTTTTGATTTGCATTTCTCTAGTAATTAGTGATGCTGAGCATCTTTTCACGTGTCTCTCCGCCATGTGTGTCTTCCTTGGTGAAATGTCTATTTAGGTCTTCTGCCATTTTTTAACTGGATTGTTTGTTTTTTTGATATTGAGCTGTTCGTATATTTTGGAGATTAATCCTCTGTCTCTTGTTTCATTTGCTAATATTTTCTCCCATTCTGAGGGTTGTCTTTTTGTCTTGTTTATGGTTTCCTTTGCTGTGCAAAAGCTTTTAAGTTTAAAAAAGTCCTGCTTGTTTATTTTTGTTTTTATTTCCGTTACTCTAGGAGGTGGGTCAAAAAAGATCTTGCTGTGGTTTATGTCAAAGAGTGTTTTTCCTATGTTTTCCTCTAGGAGTTTTATAATGTCTGGTCTTACATTTAAGTCTTTAATCCATTTGGAGTTTATTTTTGTGTATGGTGTTAGGGAGTGTTCTAATTTCATTCTTTTACATGTAGCTGTCCAGTTTTCCCAGCACCACTTATTGAAGAGGCTGTCTTTTCTCCACTGTATGTTCTTGCCTCCTTTGTCATAAACTAGGTGCCCATCTGTGCGTGGGTTTATCTCTGGGCATTCTATCCAGAATGGCCATTATCAAAAATCTAGAAACAATAAAAGCTGGAAAGGGTGTGGTGAAAAGGGAACCCTCCTGCACTGTTGGTAGGAATGTAAATTGATACAACCACTATGGAAAACAGTATGGAGGTTCCTTAAAAAACTACAAATAGAACTACCATATGACCCAGCAATCCCACTACTGGGCATATACCCTTGAGAAAACCATGATTCAAAAAGAGACACATACCACAATGTTCATTGCAGCACTACTTACAATAGCCAGGGCATGGAACCAACCTAAATGTCCATCGACAAATGAATGGATAAAGATGTGGCACATATATACAATGGAATATTACTCAGCCATAAAAAGAAATGAATTGAGTTATTTGTAGTGAGATGGATGGACCCAGAGTCTGTCATACAGAGTGAAGTCAGTCAGAAACAGAAAAACAAACATCATAAGCTAACGCATACATATGGAATCTAAAAAAAAAAAACTGTACTGATGAACCTAGTTGCAGGGCAGGAATAAACGCATATATGTGGAACCTAGAAAAATGGTACAGATGAACCGGTTTGCAGGGCAGAAATTGAGACATAGATGTAGTGAACAAACCTATGGACACCAAGGGGGGAAAGCAGCAGCAGGTGGGGGTGGTGGTGTGATGAATCGGGAGATTGGGATTGACATGTATACACTTATGTGTATAAAATGGATGACTAGTAAGAACCAGCTGTATAAAAAGATAAATTAAATAAAATTCAAAAAAACAAACAAAAAAACAAGGCTTTGAATACATTTCAGGGAAGAGGAAAGCACCAAAATAGGAAATATTCAAATCTGTCTAACTATTTGAAATGGTAATTATTTCACCTTCTAATTATGAAAATAAAGCACCATTTAAAAAAAAATTAACTTAGAAAAAAAAAGGCAGGGCAGGAATAAAGAGGTAGACATGGCGGGGGGGCTTCCCTGGTGGCGCAGTGGTTAAGAATCCACCCGCCAACGCAGGGGACACGGGTTCGAGCCCTGGTCTGGGAAGATCCCACGTGCCACAGAGCAACTAAGCCTGCGCACCACAACTACTGAGCCTGCACTCTAGAGGCCAGGAGCCACAACTACTGAGCCCATGTGCCACAACTACTGAAGCCTGTGTGCCTAGAGCCTGTGCTCTGCAACAAGAGAAGCCACCACAATGAGAAGCCCACGCACCGCAAGGAAGAGGAGCCCCCACTCGCTGCACCTAGAGAAAGCCCACGCACAGCAACAAAAACCCAACGCAGCCAAAATAAATAAAACAAAAATAAATTAAAAAAAAAAAAGAGATAGACATAGAAAATGGACTTGTGGACAACGGGTGGGAGGGCGAAGCTGGAGCGAAGTGAGAGTAGCGTCGACATGTATACACTACCGAATATAAAATAGTTGGCTGGTGGGAAGCAGCAGCATAGCACAGGGAATCAGCTCGGGGCTTTGCGATGACCTAGAGGGGTGGGATACGGAGGATGGGAGGGAGGCTCAAGAGGGAGGGGATGTGGGGACATGTGTATGCATATGGCTGATTCACTCTGTTGTACAACAGCAACTAACACAGTATTGTGAAGCAATTATACTCCAATAAAGATTAAAAAAAAAAAGAATGGCCATGAGTTGATTTATTGTCGACACTGGCCGATGATACACGGGAAGTTCATTTAGCTCTTCTCTGCTTTTTTATGTTTGGAAATTTACATAATTAAAACTTAAAAAAAAAAAAGGTACCAAACTGACCATATTGTTTGATAATTTACTTTTTGCTCCTACCATTATGTCTTCGAGATACTTCCATGTCCATACTTATAGATTTACTTCTGATTTCCTATATGGCTTTACCACACCCTATTTTACCACTGTTGAGAAACAAAATTTCTGTTGAGAAACAAAAATTATTTCCATTTTTTTCACTACTGCTAAGGGTATTACAATGAACAATCTTGTACCTGCCTCCTTGCGTACATGTGTGATGGTCCCCCCAACCAGGGGAGTTGGGGAAAAGTAGAATAGTTAGGTCATGAGACATGCACATATTACATTTTATAAGAATGATGAAAATTGCCCTTCAGAATGGCTGCATCAATGTATATTCCCAACAAGCAGTGTATGGCTGCATCATTTCACCACAATACTGGAGTTATTTAATCTTTACTAATCTGACAGGTAATACAAATGAACTCAGTTTTACTTTGCATTTCCCTGATTACAAAATGAGGCTCTCCAGTCTTTACATGTTTATTGGCCATTTGTATTTCCATTTCTGTGATACGACTTACCTTTTCCATTTTAAAAATGTACTATTTGTCTTTTTATTATTGATTTTTAATAGGCCTTCAAACATTCTGGATACTACCCTCTATCTATTAGGTACCTTACAAATGATTTCTTCTAATGTACAAAATCTTCAAATGTTGGTGCAATTAAATGTATCCAACTTCTTCCATTATGGCATTTCTGTTTTGCGACTTAAGAAGATGTTTTCCTATCCCAAGGTTATAAACATATTCTTCTGTATTTTCTTCTAATGCTTTTATGGTGGGATGTATATGTCTTTTTAAATCTATTTAAGACTTTACCTGGAATTTAGTTTTTTTAATTGATGTGAGGTAGAGGTCTAAATTCATCTTTTTCCAAATGAAGAGCCAACTGTCTCAATACTATAAATAGCCTATTTCTTCCCTTTTGACTTGAAAGACTACCCTTATCTTCTACTAATTTTTTTTTCTACTAATTTTTAAAAACTCAAAGTGTTTAATCTTTATTGTCTTCCATTGATCCAGTTGTCTTCCTGCCCTAATACTTTTTTTTGTTTTTTATTCGAATTTCCTATACTGGGTAGGTATTACTTAATAGTTTTTTAAGTTGAAGGTAAAAATGCTTTTATAAACAAATCAAAATTGTGAGATATTCTTATATTGATATGTGATCAACTTTTAAAAATACGGTACGTTCATATGTCCACAGTCCGTCAATTAATCTATGACTCTATATAAAATCCTACATATGGAAGAGTGTGAGATACATAACAGTAGTTTACAAAACCATCCCACTGAGCCATTTTTGGCCAATAATGACCACTGTTTATTTCTTTGAATCTAAGATAGCTTCAATTAGAAGATGGATCATGACTTTATGTCATTAAGAATTAAACTCTCAACTCTACCAATTTAATTGTAAGACACCATTGATTACTGGATGCATGTCAATCTTCAGAGATGTTACAATGTAAAAAAAAAAAGTGTCTTAGAATCAATGCTACAATGAATATCCCCCCTATTAATTCCATGGAGACAATTTATTGTTAATAAAATGTTTGTTTTACTTAAGCCAAAACACTTCAGTCCTTTCACACGTGTCTACAGTTTTCTAATGAAAATACTTACATCATCACAAGACATGTTGTACTCTGCTAATACAGTTCGACATCGAGCAGCTATACTGAATAAATGTGGTCAAAGGAAAATTTACATTTGAAGAGTAAGCTTTTAAGAACACCTAGAGATTGAGAAGGTGGTTTAATTTAGTTCAGAGAATAAAACTCAATTCATGGTAAAGGATACATTGACGGTGCAACTACTCTCTTGTGTATTCCAGCAAAGAACAAGCCTATTAGAGTGATACAGCTAATGGTGAAAAATGGATGGTTCCATAATGATGTGAAGAAGGACACCTGTAAAAGAGTTGGAAAGATAAAAATGTTAAAAATCCTAGAACAATATTGATTCCTACCTCCCCACTTGTGCATGAATGTATATAACATTTAATTACCTAAAATATGAGAATTTGTAAAGTTCCCTGGTGGCCTAGTGGTTAGAATTCTGGGCTCTCACTCCTGTGGCCTGGGTTCAATCCCTAGTCAGGGAACTGAGATCCCGCAAGCCGCGTGGCATGCCCCCCCCCCACAAAAACAAAAACAGATACTGTAAGAATCTGGAGACTTCCAAAAATCCTAGTTCTCCATATTGCTATACTATGAAAATTAAAATAATGTATGTTTTATATCTTCAGTGTAGCAAGACAGTGTAGCAATATTCCCTCCATTCATTCCAAATGCTTCAACCATTAAAAATTTACTCCTATAATAAAAAAACACCCTACCAAAAATATTTACTGAAACCTTCCTAGTGAGAAGTACTTTAAAAAGCAGAAGACTACAAGTTCCACGAGAAAAGAGACACTGTCGTGGGCATCATTATTTTCCCAACACCTGAAACAGCACTTGGCAAATATAGGTGCTCAACAAATATTGTTGAATGAATGAAGATGAGGCCTCTGATTCTCAATGAAAACACAAGTCAGACGTGATCTGGTTATCTTCCCTGTTAAAAAGCAGAGGTGAGCAAATTCTGCCGTTCATAACCTGGTCTCAGTCTAATCATCTCCTGCCACACTTGCATACTTATGCTACCATTTTTCTTTTCTCCTCTTCACCTGGCTAGCTCATACATATCCTTGTAAAAGTCAGTTCCAGCTTCACCCTTTCTCTTTGAAAGAGGCAAAACATGAGTTTGGTTTTGAAGCTACTAGGTTTAGATGGCCACAGAACATCCCAGCAGGGGAGAATGATTAGTAGCTATCCATAAAAAACTAGAGTTCAAGAGAAACAAAGGGCTAATTTAAGATCTGAGAATAATTAGTTGACAGTAAAAAACAGAAGCATACATAATTCTAAGAGTAGGTAGAGGGACAAGGGTACAGGATGCAGGATTGGAACAAGAGTAGGCACTGAAGCCAGACCACTGGGGAATCGGAATGTGGACTGAGAAGACAAGTATTTAGAGTCTAGAAAAAGAAATGGAGTGGACTAGAAACTAAATGGGAGCACAGAACCAAGCTAAGAGCATCTGTGCTCCGCTCTGATAAGATATGTGTACCTGTTTCAAGACAGAGAACTAAACTTATGAAGAGCACTGGCCTAGCATGGTACTGGTTAAATAAATTTGTCAAATGAAGAAATGACAGGTTGAAAACATCAGGAAGGAAGAAGCTCCCAGAAGGACGAGATCCTGCAGAAAGTTTAATACTCCAGAGTAATGTCTTCTTAAACCTCTGAGGACAGTTTAATTCCCACAGGAATTACGTGCCTATGTTTTACGTGCCCTGTACAAGATCAGCACATACAGTGTTTCAATCTTCATTAGACCAGTCAGTATCAGCCTGCCTTCCTCCACGGCAACAATCAACTGCATCCAAGTAACAGTTGCCTCCTTTAGTTCAGGCATTTGTGTACTTTCCAGTTTGCCATATTCCTTCTCTCCTTGTGTTCTTCCAGCTAGCCACTGGCTTTTGAGTTTGCAAGTCCTCTTACAGACAACTGCTATTCAAAACTCTTGTCAGGTTTGAGGTTATTAAATAGTGAAATGTAAAGAGCCAACCCTTAAGCTAATAGTTATATTCTCACCTAATTTAGAAAATTATATTAACTACAGAGTTTTGGGCCTATTTCAAATTACATTTAATTCTGGGTTTTATTAAGATCTCAACTAGCTGAAATCAGCTTATATTGTTCACAATTAGAAGTCAGATTCATTTCCCAAGATAGACCTTTTTTAATCTTCTTGCCAGCCTCTTTCACTCTTCCCCTAAAGATGAGTACCAAGTGCAGCCTTAAGATCAGATTTTTATAAATGAACATACAAGAGAGTTTCCTATCCATCATAAAAACCCCTCTATTAACATGAGATCCCATCACCAACCTCCCCTGCTTCCTATTCTTTTATTTCTCCACCTCAGTGGGTAGAGTCAGGCAGACTACATGGGAAACAACCCCCTGGCTGTCTGAACTGCCATTTGGGCTGCTGACAAAAGCCTTATTATTAGGTTTTTCTTTTGTATAACCCAAAAGGTTGTAAATAAAGCTACTGGCAGTAGTATACCTAATTACAGTTTAAAAGGGGAAGTAGGGTTAAATTTGTGAAAACTACAACATCATTATTACCTAAATAAACCTGAACTGGGGGAAAAAAACTTCACTGGAAAACTGAAGACGATTACTTCTCTAATAAAAAAGCCCAAGTTTGAAATTAAGGCACAAATTGGTAGAAAGAAAGAGAAATTTGAGAAACATGCTACCAGCTTTCATCAAAGGATGCTTCAAAAAATAACATTATGAAATCTGTTATTGCATTTGATACAGGAATATTCTTAGTGCCCAGTGGGAGATCTCTCAGTGTTTCTTATATTAAACTTCAGGCAGAATATTTTTTTAAAGATAAATGATGAGAAAGAAAACCTTTGCTAGCTTAAAGAACTTACAAATGTGTTCTCACAGATAATGAAAACCATGGAACTAGCTGTGACTTTAGAGACTAATTTAAAACTCAACCCTGGCAACTCTGCTGGCCCACAGGGCCTATGATATCAGTAACCTGGTTTCCTTCCTGGTTTTGACCTCGTACTCTGTTTTTACTGGTCTTGACTGTTTATTACGTTTACATTTGCTATTTTATCATAATGTTTCCTGCAAAGTTGTCTCGAATGCTTTATGAGATGAGGAAAAGAATTAACAAAGATAATTCATAGAAGAAAATGTTGTTTTATAATTTTTAAAAGCTGGCACTGATGACACTAAATGAACAAAACAGAACAAAGACAACGTTTACACTGAAATATGTAAAAATGATATGTAAAAACTGTACACAAGTTCAGAAATGAATGAGAAGTAATATAAGTGAGGTAGTATTTCTTAGGCCTTTTTCTCTGCAAAGATACTTAACCCACAGCAGCCAGCCAAAGTTTTTCTCAAGCAAATTAAGATAAAGCATATTTTTAATACAATGATTAATATCACTACTAGTACTAATAGGGAGCATTTGATTAATACTTTACAAAGAACAAAGCACTGCTATATCCACTGTCTCAATCTGTTAAAGATTTTAAATCAAAACTTCTACCTTTTGCGTCTCGGGATCTATTAACCAGTTCCAGGCACCAGTAGCTGTACAGACAGATACCACTATAAGAAGCACTGATGAAAGATAAACATGAAATTAGTAAGGAAATAAGCTATTAATATGATACTACCACCAGTTCTTAATATGACAGCCAAAGGATGCAGCACTTCATTAAATGGAGAATGTACTCCACTCAGGACTTAGAGGAGACTTGCCATATGACCTTGAGGAATTCTCTGAAACAATGTGAACCTTAGTAACTGAGGAGGATACTGTCCCCGTTATGACTTTAGTCAAAATTTCTGAAGATTAATGAAATTAAAAGCAGTAAGAACCAAGATGGTAAAACTTTAATGTAAGATTTTCTTAGGTAACTTTCAATGTCTTTACACTGATGTTACAGATCTAATAAATTCAAAACAAAACCCCCCCAAAACCACCCCAAAAACCTCATTTTTCAAATGTAAACAAACCAAACAAAGACTCTTTCATGAATGCACTGAGAATTTGGACTAAAGACTTTTGCCTTGCAGACAACTGCTTGTTGTTGAATTAAACAAAGGTCAATGTCAGGAAGTGTGGAGCACACCAATCAGTATCCGATTTTCTTTAAGGGACTTAAGGAAGGTTGGGGTAGAAATTATTGACAGTAGAAGTTCGAAAAAGTTTCTTTCTCCCCACTAAGCTAGAATTATTTTAAAAATTCTATATAGATCATAAGTAAAACTTAAGAATATATGGTATTACTAAAAAATAATAAAGGGGCACCAAGACCTAGTTACTATTCTGGAGACCAATCAGTTACTATCTTTCAGTTGGGATGCATACATTTTTAAAATGTAGAGATCAAGCTTCAAAGTGCAACCTAAATATAGTAAAACTTTATCTAGAATTCGTGGTGATATACTTTTAGAAGAGGCAAATCATAGAAAAACAATCTCATTTTAGATATTTAATAATACGCAAAATTTCAAACTTATGTTCTCAGAACAGATTAAACTCAGTTTCTTATAATTCTACACTTCCAATAAGAAACATGCTAAAGTATACAGATTTTTTTTTTTTTTTTAATGAAGCAAAAGCAAAATCAAACCCACCAGAAGGGACCTCATACACATACTCTGGTACGCTGAACAAGCTGATGGCATTTGTATGTAAGCACTTAGCCCGTGAATCAGAGAAAAAGCGTGTTCATTACACTTTATAAGATAGAAAAGCATCATATACATTTTAAAAGATTCTCAAGTAACAGTGAAACAAGGTTTTGGGGGTAATTCCTAGGTAAACTGGAGAACCTGAGAAAAATCATTACTTGTGAATTCTAACCAATCAGAATTCCTGTAGCATATGACTAAAACTTTGCAAATAGATTTAATAAAAATACACAAAAAATCTCGACATAGGAGAAGACCCTTAACTTCAATAGGGCTCTTCAGTTTGGTCCCACAAAGTGAATTATACTTCAAAATAAAGTATGTCCTCAACATGTGCTGCTGTACTTCCTTCTTGGCAGATATTAAATTTCAGCAAGGAACAGCCAAGAAATTAAGACTGTCCCAACATAAATTAGCAAAATATTTTGCTTACTGAGGTCATCACTTGTATATTCGTCTGCATTTCCTATATATTTCCATGGGGCAGTAACCACAATTCTTTCAAATCATATTTTACAGCACTCGTTGAATATCATTTTCCTTAACAAACTTTATTTCAATAGTTTGTAGGCAAAACTGTAAAACTGCTGGGCAGACTACTGAAATTTTTATTACGTGTGCTGGTTATCAGATTTGTAATATTTGTTTAAAAGTATATGCATTTTAATGTAAAAATAAAAATTCAACCACACAAAATAGACTATTCTCTTAGGGTCGTCAGTTTCTTTTCTTAAAATGTCCCTATAATGCCATTACTTACAATGTTAAATAAATGTAAAACTGTCCAAATAAAAGAGAATCTTATGGTTTAATAAAGATTTGCAAGCATTTGTAAAACAAAAGTTTTACAGAGAAGCAAATCATTGCTAGGCAGGAATAAAAGTATCAATTTTAAGTTTATTTTCCCTTAAAAAACATCCGGGCACTTACTTCTCCAACGTCCAGTGGCAGGTTGCAAACAATGAATATATTCAGTAAGTCTCCTCTCAAAAGCCTTGAGATCTAGGTAAAAAGATTTCAATTTTCTAATTAGCTACTCTTACTAGTTTGAATCTATTAAGATGAATTTTATGTACTCTGCTTCAGGTCTTGCACACCAACTTACATGTATCACTGCACTGTTTACTTCTTTACTATGACAGCTTTAAACACTTGACAAATACATTAGGTTTCTTTAATTCCAATTTCACATATAAGGAAACTGGTCGATTCACTTTTAGAAGCGTCATAAAATGGTATGTGGAAAATCAACAGCAGCCTCAGCCGGTGCCAAAAGCTAGAAATTTGGGGGTTGCAAATAAAGGATCAAAATCAGGTCGAGTTTTAATTCCGTTGGAACCAAGAACTCCCTATTAGACAGAACAACGTTATTACCTAACACCGAAGTCTTCGAAGTCAATTTGAACGCAACTACCCAATTCCGATTTCCAGCCCTTGTATTTAATTAATGGCTACGCTTTCAGTCTGGACTTCTGATACGGCTAACAGGTGGGTATGCAAAAACGCTCCCCTTTCCTTCCTCCCAAGAGGTTACAATTGATCTTCGTGGCACTTCTGGAGCGCCGACGCCTGGTTCCACAACACAGGGGCACCCAAGGTACTCCCTCTGAATAAGCAAGGTGCGGTACCACTTTCAGTTGCGTTTTTTGTTTTGTTTTGTTTTGTTTTTTTGCGGTACGCGGGCCTCCCACCGCTGTAGCCTCTCCCGCTGCGGAGTCCAGGCTCCGGACGCGCAGGCCCAGCGGCCATGGCCCACGGGCCCAGCCGCTCCGCGGCATGTGGGATCTTCCCGGACCGGGGTACGAACCCGCGTCCGCCGCATCGGCAGGCGGACTCCCAACCACTGCGCCACCAGGGAAGACCTCAGTTGCGTTTTTTGAACTTTAGAAAAGGAGCCCAAGAGGCACTCCCTTACCCCGGCAATTACCAGAAACCACGGCAGAAGTCAGGGATACAATTCGTGCAAGTATCAAAAAAAAAATAAAGTGAGTTAGCATACTACAAGGCACGAAGTAAAAATGTTTGCTAATGAATGAGAAATATAACCAGCCCGGACGAGAAGCTACCTGGTCTAAGCTTGGGGAATGGAGGAACTGACGCAACGCCCCCCCACAAGCGCCGGCTGAGGCCACGCGCGCCGGAAGCAGCGACCGGCCGGATACTGCCGCCCCTTGGCCCCTGGACCGGCCCCCGCGCCCCCAGCCCCGGACCCCGTCAGTCCAACCCTCGCGGCCTCCTCTCTCCGGACCAGGTTTCCACGATTCAGGCCCCTCCGGAGCCCCGCCAGCTTCCGGGAGAAGCCCGGAACCGACCCAGGCGGCCCACCCTACCTTCCGCCTGCTCCAGCGAGTTCATGTCGGGCTGCAGCTCCGTTCACCGGCGCTGCCCCGTCCGCATCGCAGCTCCGCTGCCCCCTCCAGGCCCGCAGCTCCAACTCCCACCTCTAACAGCTCCCCTGCGCTCCTCCTCTTAGCACCGCCCCTTTCCTAGACCCACTACGTTCATTGGATACTTCTGCCAGACCCCATGACTAAGACGGTTTTCTATTGGCTAGTTCCTGCACGGGTTTGGCAGCTGGAGTTGGACGGTCAGCCAGAGGGGCCAAGAGCTGACGGCAGCCGAGTAGGCGTAACACTGGCGTCGCCTCCTGCCCTGGGGAGGAACTGCAGCCTGTCCGCGCAAGTCGGTTCATTTCGTATATTCCTCGTTTCCTGCTTGGTTCTTTCATTACTCGAATACTTATTGTGCATCCGCTACCTTCCGGGGAGTGTTCTGGTCACTAACGAGGGATGCAGTAATCAACGACCTAGCTCTCCCTCTAGGATTCAGAGAGAAATAAGGTATGTACAGAACCAACTAGAAACCAAATAATGGAATTTCTTACTTTATAGTACCTCTTTCCTAGTTACCCGTGCCACAGCTACTGAAACCCGCGCACCTAGAGCCTGTGCTCAGCAACAAGAGAAGCCACCACAATGAGAAGCCCACGCACCGCAATGAAGAGTAGCCCCCGCTTGCTGCAACTAGAGAAAGCCCGCGCGCAGCAACGAAGACCCATCGCAGCCAAAAATAAATAAATAAATTTATTTTAAAAAAATGTTGAACATGCCTTTGAAAGGGTGCACATTTTTATCTTGTCACTGGCATCTGCATGTATGGATCACGGGCGCTTGAGGAACAGTAAGGGAGGAGGAGAGGAAAATAGGCGCTCATAGTTAGGCTAAAAAATTTGGAACCTGAAGTAATGGGGAGACCAAAGGATATATATTTGTAGAAACATCATATCAATGGGATTTGTCAAGAAGATAGTCAACAAATATTTAAGGAATACATGTTCCAGGCACTGGGATATGAGCCGAGAATGCAAAGGTCTCTAGGAATCACTCCTGCCCTCTGTAAAGATAGAGTTTAGTGTAAAAACAAAAGACAAAATGCTAAAGACTCTTAAAACATCAGTGATAAGATGAAGATCTGCTTCAAAGAGGGATATCCATACAATAGCTAAAGTTTGTTACATTTTACTGGAGGTCTGGCGCTACATCTTTTATAGTTCAGGAGAATTAGACTTCTTTTAAACCCCACAGCAGCTCTATGAGCCAAAACGTGTTATCAAATCCATTTTAGAGTTGAGTTTATAGATATAAGTAGATGAGTTGATCAGCTCCAAACCCTGTAGCTGGAATTATCATTGATTCTCTCCCTCTCTTTCTCTCCACATGATACATCAGATCAGGTAGCAAATCCTGTTGGCTCTACTCTGCAGCTACCACTGATCCAAGCCACCATATAGCCTGGATTTATAGCTGTGGCCTCTCACTAGTCTCCTGTTCCCACCCTTTCCACAGAGTGGTTTGTAAAACACTAAAAGATCACAGTAGTTTTGTCCTCAGACCCTACCAATGGCCCCTTGCAGTGACTACAACAGAGATCTTCATGCCATTTCCATGGCAATACCTTCTAAAATGATTTTGACAAGTTATATGCCTCCTCACATGTTTTTAAAATTACATCTGAAATTTTCATCATGGGCTTGAATCCTTGTGAAAGATGTAATTTCTGGTATTGTATACATTGACATTTGGAAAGAAACTCTTATATCACTCTTTTAAAGGTATTCAATGGAATTTAAATACCATGGCAATTTGACACCCACCATCATCCCTTTAAAAATACATGAATATCTCTTATGAATATGGACATAAAAATCCTTTAAAAAATTAGCAAGTCACATCCAGCAACATATAAAAAGGATTATACAGCAAGATGAAGTGTGTTTTATGCTTCGAATGCAAAGTGGGTTTGACATCAGAAAATGCGTTAGTGTAATGAATCATATAAATAGAATAAAGGACAAAAACCATGTGATTTGATGAGGATGTAGAGAAATTGGAGAATTCATACATTATTAGTAGTAATGTATCAATAAACTGGTGCAGCCACTTTGGAAGACAGTTTGGCAGTTCAACAAAAAGTTAAGCACGTAGTTACTATATGAATCAGCAATTCTACTCTTAAGTATATACCTGAGAGAATTGAAAACATGTTCACGAAAAACCTAGTACATAAAATGTGCATGGCAGCATTATTCGTAATAGCCAAAGAGTGGAAACAACCCAAATGTCCATCAACTAATGAGTGGATAAGCAAAATGTGATATTTCTATAGAGTGGAATATAATTCAACAATTTAAAAAATGAAGTACTGATAAATGCTACAAAATGCACACCCATAGAGACAGGACTTAGATAGTGGTTGCCGGGGGCTTAAGAAAAGGGAAAATAGAAAGTATGATATTTCTTTTTGGAGTGATGGAAATGTTCCGGAATTAGATAGTGATGATTGCATAACTTTGTGAGTATACTAAAAACCACTTTAAAAGTGAATTTTATTATATATAAATTGTATCTCAATTTTAAAAGTATGGGAAATCCCCACATGATCATCTCAATAGTTGCAAAAAAAGGATTTGACAAAATCCAACACCCTTTCATGATAGAAACACACGACAAACTAGGAATAAAAGGAAACTTCCTCATTGTTGGTAAAGAACATCTACAGAACCCATAGCTAACTTCATACTTAAAGGTGAATGTTTTCCTCCTAAGATCCAGAAGTAGACAAAGATGTCCATGCTTACCACTTCTGTCCAACATCATAATGGAGGTTCTATCAGGCAATTAGGCAATAAAATGAGATCAAAGGAATCCATATTGGAAAGAAAGAAGTAGAAGTAGAAGACATGATCTTATATATAGAACATCCTAAGGAATTCACCAATAAAGTATTATTGGAATTCACCAATAAAAAAATGGGTTCAGCAAGGTTGCAGGGTATAAGATCAGTATACAAAAATCAAGTGTATTTCTCTGCACCAGTAATGACCAACCCCAAAATGAAATAAATGTAACTACACTTATATAGCATCAAAAAAATAAAATAATTAAGAATACATTTTTTAAAAGAAGGGCAAAATTTGTATTCTGAAAACTACCAATATAAAACAATATTGAAAGAAATTAACGAAGACCTAAAAAATTGGAAAAACATCGCATGTTCATGGATTAGAAGACAATATTGTTAAGATGGCAATAAAAAAAAAAAAGATGGTAATATTCCCCCAAATGATCTACAGAGTCAATGCAATACTTATTATAATCCCAGCTGGCTTTTTTGCAGAAATTGACAAGTTGATCCTAAAATTCATGTGGAAATGCAAGAGACCCAAAGAGCCAAAACAATTTTGAAAAAGGAAATAAAGTTGGAGAGCTCACACTTTCACATTTCAAAACTTACTACAAAGATGGAGTGGTACTGGCCTGTGATAGACATATAGATCAGTGGAATAGAATTAAGAATTCAGAAATAAACCCTGCATTTATAGTTAATTGATGTTTGACAAGGGTGCCAAGACAATTCAATGGTCTTCTTAACAAATGATGCTGGAACAACTGAACATCCACATGCAAAAGAATGAAGTTGTACCTGTTTCTTTACCATACACAAAAATTAACTCCAAATGGATCATGTAAGAGCTAAAACTATAAATCTCTTTGAAGAAAACTTAGGAATAAATCTTTGTGTCCTTGAGTTAGGCAAAGCCATATTAGATACAATAACAAAAGCACAAATGACAAGAGGAGAAATGGATAAATTGGACCTTATAAAAATTAAAAACTTTGTGGGGACTTCCTTGGTGGTCCAATGGTTAGGACTCCGTGCTTCCACTGCAGGGGGCCAGGGCTCAATCCCTGATTGGGGAACTAAGATCCCGCATGCCTTGTAGTGTGGCCAAAAAAAAAAAAAATTAAAAACTTTGTGCTTCAAAGGACACCACTGAGAAAGTGAAAAGAAAGACAACCCATAGAATGGGAGAATATATTTGCAAATCATATACCTGATAAGGGGCTTATATCCAGAACATATTAAAAACTCTTACAACCCAACAATATAAAATGGACAAAGGATTTGAATAGATATTTCTCCAGAAAGAAAATACCAGTGGCCAGCAAGTGCATGAAAGATGCTCAATATCATTATCCATTAGGGAAATGCAAATCAAAACCATGATGAAAAACTACTTCCCATCCATGGAGATGGTTAGAATTAAAAAAAAAAACAGATAATAAGTGTTATGGAGGATATATAGAAATTAGAACCTTGGTACATTGCTTCTGGGAATATAAAATTATATAGCCACACTGAAAAACAGTTTGACATTTTTTTTTAAAGTTAAACATAAATTCCCATATGGCCCAGCAATTCCACTTCTGTTTACCTACGAAAAATGAGAACATATGTCCCTACAAAGACTTGCATGTGAATGGTCATAACAGCACTATTTATAATAGTAAAAAACTGGAAACAAATGTCCATCAAATGGTGAATGGATAAGCAAAATGTGGTATCTCCATACAACTGAATATTATTCAGCCATAAAAATGAATGAGGGGGGACTTCCCTGGTGGCCCAGTGGGTGGGACTCGGTGCTCCCAATGCGTGGGCCCGGGTTCGATCCCTGGTCAGGTAACTGGGTCCCGCATGCATGCTGCAACTAGGAGTCTGTATGCTGCGACAAAGATCCTGCATGCCATAACTAAGACCCGGTACAGCCTAAATAAATAAATGAATATTTTTTTAAAAAAAAGAATGGGGTACTGACAAAGGGTACAACAGACGAACCTTGAAAAAATTTTGCTAAGTGAAAGAAACCAGTCACAAAGGACTCATATTGTATGAGTCCATTTATATGAAATGTCAGACTAGGCAAATCTGTAGAGATGAAAAGTAGATTATTGTTTTTCAGAGCTGAGGGAAGTTGGGGGAAAATGGGGAGTGTCTGCGAATGGGTAGGGGGTTTCTTTTCCAGGTGATGAAAATGTTATAAAGTTGATCGTGGTGATGACTGTATGACTCGGTGAATATACTAAAAACCACTGAACTGTATGCTTTAAATGGGTAAAT